ATTTATAATGATTCGTCACGTCCACGCACCCTTCACGTTAACGTACTACATAGACGAATATTTGACGAAGTTGCCGAAGCTGGTGCAGCTGTGGGAGGCGGAAGAGCGACCAAAGCCCACATTCGTTGTAATGAGTAAGGAATTGTTGAAGGAATTAAGATTATAGATATTTGTTGTCTGGTATTGTTTAATGGCATTGTTACTCCGCCGAGAAGTTATGTTTTTGGTTGATTAGTTAGTGTGTTGGTTAGTTGCTTAGTAGTATAACTGAAAGTGAATAGAATTTTATCAGAGGTGTATATTTTTTTAACCCAACTTAGATGCTATTAGGTTTTGGAGGATTTTTTTTTTTAAGGATTCATTAGCATTGCGAGATAGGGAAACACGAACGTCACCTGTATGTACTTGCCACTATTGCCTTGGCAGAGTGCTTTTAGTTGTTATTGCTACTGTTATTGTCACCATCATCATCAGCACTATTTTGTATTTCCATTTCCATCACCAGATCATCACCATCATCCATCGTCATCTTATCATCATCGTCATCATCATCATCACTACTTCTACCATCATCACCACCACCACCACCACCACCTCTACCTCCATCACCACCACCTCTACCTTTATCTCTACCTCCATCACCACCACCACCACCTCTACCTTTACCTATACCTCCATCACCACCACCACCACCTCTACCTTTACCTCTACCTCCATCACCACCACCCCAACCACACCACCACCACCACTTCTCAAAATGAACCACCCTTTACCTATTTCCTACAGACACAGGAAACCACTGGATGCGGTATTTAGAATCCACCTACCTGGAGAAGGGCGTGGAAACAGCTGGGAAAATATTCGAAAAACACCTGCAAAGTATCGCACCTGTAATTACCCGTCTCGCTCGCACAACACCTGTTATCTTCAAAATGCAAGATGATCTCCAGGTATCTTGGGGAATAGGTGTACTAGTGCTTTATAGTTAATATGATACAGAGTAGTAAATGTGTGTTAGATATATGTATATAACACACACACACACACACACACACACAACATCAGACAGAGAGAGAGAGAGAGACAGAGAGACAGAGAGAGGGGAGGTTGCCTCGATCAATTGGTTTCCTGAATAATATACTGTTGTCAATGGCATCAGCTAAACATCAATCCTATAGACCTGAAGGATTGAAGATATCTTACCTCGTCAAAAAATGTATTATTGATCATACCAATTATTAGATTGCCGTTTATTATAAAATTACTCAGTAAGTGATGTTCTCTGGTTAGTACTATTTCAGTAGTAGGAAACGTTTTTTGTAATTATATTTAAAATCTAACTTTTAATGAATCTGGAGACCATACACTCAAACAAACCATCATCATTAGTATATTGTGTGATAAATAGGGAGATAAAAGAAGACTGGGGATTGGAAAGGGAGAAGAAGTGGGGATGAGGAGACTGAGTGATAAAGGGCAAATAGGGACTGCCAGGCTTACTTCACTCACTGAGCGTGCTTGCAAGTGCCTTGATACTGTACTTGTCCTGTTCTTAAAGCTTTAAGATTATCATTTATCAATAAAGGAGACGCGTCTTCAACCCCCAAGGGACTTTGTATATAAATGGGGAATTATACTTTGGTATTTCCTTGCAGAAGCATTGTGCATCGTTTTCTTTTAGGTACTGTGCTGAACATATTTTTGTTTATTTCGTTTTATACAAGCTGTGGTCTGTAATATCGCGGCGAACAAAGAACTAGATTTCTTTCGCTGGTTCTAAAGAATCGCCATGGCAGGAGAGCTTCTAGATTTTTAGATGAATATAATAGTTACCCGTTTTCAGTGGTAGGCGTACAGCTTAGCTTGAAAAGGTCATGTTCTTGACCCACAAAAGACCGTATCATGATATGCAGGACAACTCTGCCTGCCTCCTCCCATAACACAATCCCATCATAAGTCCAGTTGTGGTGGACTTACTTGTCTGAGTTTCTACAGAGACCTGGCAGTTTCAAATGGTACATAACCCTTTTCTGATAGTTGGCTGATATTCGATTTCAGTTTTGTGCTTCAGTTTTAGAGAGCACCTGTGTAATGCGAAATTATCGAGGGATGCAACTTCAAACCATTTATTAGGAACAGATAAAGTTATGGATGAGGACGGGGCTATATTGTATCCACTGGTTTGTCTTTTAGATTGCTGGTGTCGGTCGAATCTGCTCAAACATTTCATCTCTCTACTTTTAAGACCAGCTTTGAGCGTCTTGTTAAAAAACATAATTCCACTAGCTAAGCGGCAGTTGCTTCACAAGTGTTTTAGCTGATAAATAGCTTATCGTATTATTCTAAGAAGTTTTTCTTTATTCTTTATATCATGTAAGCGCTTGCCTTAAAGAGATGGAGACCTGTCCAGGATAAGGTTTTATGTATACAGATTAGTAAAGAGAAGGTCTTTTGTTGATAGAGGATTTCATTCGTACGTCAAGACTAGCAGGAGTAAAATTCTCGTGCCAGCAGGGAATTGTGCTTATGAACCCAACATGATGTTCATTAGCAACATAATAGTGGCAGGAGTGAATATCTTTTGCAAAACTGAAGGGATATACTTATTACCCCATCATCACTGGCTAAATATTGTCCTTATAACAATGAAGGAAGCAAGATAAACATCCTGCGATATCTTCCAAAATTAATAACTAAAATAAGAGTAAGAAGAGAGATTGTCAAAAACAATTTGAATACACACCACTACAATGACCGAAATAAGAACGAAAAATAACAATACCATTCTCTTTTCCTAGGTGGCTTATATCGAGGACCCAAAAGTGAAATCCTTCACCGTCGACAACATCCGCCATTACAACGCCCTCTATAAACAAACCCTGAAGAATACCGGCGTCGTGTTTTGGGACAGCACGTTGCCTCTCTCCCGCGCATACAACCAAGAATGCCTCAGGAACCCAAGACACTTCAGGGACACGCTGTGGTGGATGTGCAAGGATGTGGTGCATGTGGGGTATATTCTGGTGCGCCAGTATGCGGATATGGTTCTCAATGCTGCTTGTGGTCGAAGTATGAGCGACTGCAGCTGAAACCGTCTCTTGCCTGACGTTTTCTACAGCCAGTAACCATTTATTATCCTCTTACTTTATATATCATGTCATATTTATACAACTGTTCTGTCTGAAGATAAACTTTTTAGAGGTTATATGCTACGTGTACATATAATTATATTTATGTGTGTGTGCGTGTGTACATATATGTATTTAGTTGTACATATCTATGTGTATATGAAAAATCATTATTTTTATAACGAACATTGATATTTTGTGGTGTCTATCGGTTACAACGGGCCTTGGATCTGCACCTGATAGTCTGCACACAAATAAGTGCTGGGACAATCTCCTACTGCCAGAGGTGACTCCTTGCACCTTGTTCTACATCCATCGAGACCGAGGTTTTCACCCGGTAACTGTCCCTTCTCGTGTTGCGTCCTCACTTTTGCAGTGGCGGTGGATTGCCCTCTTTATTGCCCAAACGTGGGAGGGGTTATTTGAAAGCCAAGCTGGTGCCCACGCAACAATCTCACTTATCCACGTCACTGATGTAAATTGGAGAAGAGCAAATGGCCATGTAGCTCATGGCACTGAGAGAATGAAGTAGAAGTCAGTGACAAACTGTCTCTTGGACTACATCTCTCGTATCAAAGTACAATCGGCTACCAGGAAGGAACACCAAAGCACCATGTATATATGTGTGTGTGTGTATAAAGAGATAAATAGATAGTTACCTTATATTTATTACATACATATATATATTTGTAATCCCAAGTTTTGGAGCATAGGAAGCAAGGTTTTAAATAGTAGCGGTTACCGAATGCCTTGCTTCAAACCTAAAAGTAATTACCTGCTTTTTTTCATTAATATATTCATAGTCACCTCATAAACACCAGGAATAAATAATTGTTACATTATTTCGTCAGAAGAAATTTTAATTGATTGTCTTTCTTGCTGTTCACAGGAAAGTTGTATTGTTTTCGTTTGCGGATGTTAGCAGGGTTTTTTTCCATATTGTATGTTGCCCAAAAAACTGTTTTTGTTAATTAAGAGAATACAGTCAAACGAAACCTGGTCCTACTGTTATGCATAGATGGATGATGTTAAAATGGCTAGGTGGTTGGCCAGGTTTCCATCTTAATCTCATCCCATTTTTCACTTACCAACCTCTGCCTTTTCCCATACATGTTACAGCACCCAAAACTAAGTGATTATAAGTTGGATGGATATGTGATACGTTCATGGAAAATGACGCAGAGCAGGCCCAAGAAATATTAAGTAAGCAAAAAGAAAAAAGGAAACAAAAACGCGGAATGTATGTCAGTCATGCCATACCATGAATTGTAGTATTCATGTATGAATAGCTGGCTGAAAGTCAAATAAATCCAGGGAATATATTAATTATTGTTGGTTAGAAAACCGATGTCTGATTATCTGAGTGTATAAAATCAGAGAAATGTTTTTGTCCAATTTATTAATATTCTAGTCCAGCTGTTCTAAACCCAGATGTCAGGATTCTAGAGGGATTGCAATATTCTGGTTTATGTAGTTTTTTTTTTTCTTTTTCTTTCTTTTAGTGGCATTTATATGCTGGCGCAGCGGTAAGGTGCTGGTCTAGCAATCTTGCGGACCTGCGTTCAATCCCACACCCGGCCAGTGAGTGGTAACCCTGGCCACTCCTTGCACACAGGGGGAGATTTGGCCAAAATAAAACAGACAGTATGTCACAGTAAAGAATATCCATTGTAACAAATGGAATTAAAACTAAATCTTTAAAATCTTAACCTTTATAATAAATTTGATTCCTCATACTGTTTTTATTGTCATCACACAAAGTCCAGCGTTACAAAATTTGCAACATGTCTCACGGAAATCTCATAATTCATAGTGGAATGACGATTAATATTGATAGTAATAAAAGCGGGTGAAAATAGACGCCCTGACGTATTTCTTAAATGTATCTCTGCTTCATCGCTGAACAGTTTAAGTTCCCTCCTTTGGATGTAAGGTAATGTACCTGAGAGGGTATATTACACGTTACCATTTAATTTCCGTTATGGAAGAGTGTATGTGCAATAATCTGACAAAGTCTCTCTTCCGGCTAATATCATATCCAATAAATATGGGAAAGAAAGAAAAAATGTGAAAAAATAGAGGAAACTGCGCTAACAAAACAGAAAATAAAGCGAATACAAGTGAAAAGAGGGAATCGTGATAACTGAGAAAATGCGGAAGTAGAAAATGTGTCAAAGAAAACAGTGGGAGAGAGAGATTAACATTGCGAAATGAATACAGAAAAGTCATAATTTTTATCTTCATCATCAAATCCCCATCGCTGTTGTCTTTGCCACCGTCATTATATCCCCGTTATCATTATCACTTACTACAACAGTATTACTAGTTACTCTTAAAATCTTATTAATTCTTATAATAAATATAACAATGAAATTAATAACGACAATATACATTATCATAAATACAATAGATATGTGATCATGGTTTCACGTATAGACATAAGTAGAGCGCTGTATGTGAGCTTTCGGTTTACAAGAAAAAAATTCCAACCTGTCAAATTACTGTAATTTAAAATGGGAAAACGAATCTCACCAAGCGAATGATTAATCAACAAACGCTTTTGGGAAAACCTACATGAAGGCTTAGAGAATCAACTATTATATAAAATAAAGCAACATAGGTTTAGCACATGCTAGACCAAGGCAACATATATGGAAAGTGAACAGTCGAAGGTTCGTACAAGTGAAATTAGTGAAGTCCTAATCCCTTGCTCGCTGTTGTCGGGTGGGGGTGAGGGGGTGGGGGCATAGGAGGCGGAGACTAAGGCCCAGTGTATACGGTATTACCCTTACCATAGACCTCAGCCCTTGCCGTAACTATTTTTGCATGGTCTTTTCTTCTCCCCTTTTCCTTTTCTTTATCTCCTTCATTCCCTCCTGTCCACATCCTAAAGTGTGAGACCCAGCACGGAAGGATGAAAGGCCTTCCTATTCCGTTTGCTCTTCCCTCTTTTCCCTTTTCACTACCATGCTACCCTACAGCGCTCCACATCTTTTGACATTTAACACAATTTGCCCTAAATGTTAACTCATGACTGACCTTTTTGTCACAATACTTTATCATAGTGTTGTATGGCCTTTCCTCGATTGGCGGCGAACACCCTATCGCTATATTTTGAATACACCGCTAGTGACCGTAGATGTTGACGCGGCAGAAACTTATCAATAAATACAAATAAGTACCGAAGAGCTAAACTGGTGCTTCGCTCGTTCAAACAGAAGGTGTCTCGAAATCGATCCTTTTAACATGATGTTTGGATACCCGCGGGGCTAACGGAAGAAGGGCGAGCGCGGTGGTGAAAGATAGAGAGAGAGACAGACAGACAGAGAAATGGTTCGAGAGCGATAGAGACAGCCAAACAGAGAAGAGTAGGAGAGGAAGCGATAGAGATGGACAGATAGAGAGAGGGGCAGACCCCTAATGAGGCGGCATTGATACTTTGAGAAATACAAGTTTGTAGTCTACACAGTACTAAGGTGGAAACTGTGCAGTAGCTCGCAATAACTTTTCTAATTTTCTTGCTGTTAAAGATGTCTTTATTGTTAGACTCCCGACGGTTGATTCTGTCATGAAATAATTATTACTTCCCTCTATTTTATGGATATATCTAGTGATTAATAAATTTCTTATAAAACAGATTCGTATCCATTGAGAGACCCATGTCTACATCATAGATTTAAAGTACAATTTATGTAGAGAGTAATAGCTAGGCTATTGATTATTGGGAATTATAAAATGATTAGAGAGAAATTTATCCTTGTAATCAAAGTAATCGATAGCGCCCACAGCTACTGAGCGGCAGGTAGAGAGGCTACTACAGTGACCTACAGACTGTTCAAGGTTTACGGTTAGTATGTTCTCTGTTTCGCCGTCATCCGCCCATCGCAGGGAATGAGACCACGAAGGTAGGTAGACTGAAAGGACAAAGTTTTCCAAAGGCTTCTTTCCTACCTCGGGATATTTCTTCTTTCCTACCTCGGGATATTTCTTCACATGTTCTACTCTGAATTACTACAGGATTGAGTTTTCAAAGATATGTTTGAGTCCCTAGTCTGAGCCATTACTACCACAATTGATACGAATGCGACACTCGAGCCTTGGTTTCTGCGTTGATTGGAATTCGTAGTGAATGATTACCTGTATATCACAAATTTATACAAAATTGTAATTAAGAATTATGGATTTGCAAATTTAGCAGAGGTAAAGACGTTGTTATGGTTAATGAATATGTTACAGACATCTTAATCCAAAGTCTGGGCTCCAGCATCGCATTCGAATGGCATGTGGTAATGGTGGTAACAATGGTTTCAAGTTTCAAAGATTACAGTCTGAAGGGTACCCAAGGCAGCTGTGCAAATCTCTCATATATGTCAGGAAAATAAGATTTAAAAGCACAGTTAACGGGAAGACAAATGATCTGCAATGACTGGGTTTACAGTCTGATACGGCATTTGAACTAGAAAAAACAAACATTCAATAGGGAAAATACGTACATCATCTATAAAGAGATCCATGTTTTGAGCTGATCTTCCTACTCTGAATCTATGTGCAGCATTATCTTTTTGTGCCTTAGACTATATCTGTTTACACAGTATGTGAAAACCGTTGAGTTATCATTAATATATATAATGCAACTTTGAAATCATTTTGATTCATTCGCGAATTATGCATTATGATCACACAACATTAGACTTTTTATTTGATTCAGTAAAATATTATGATGTAGTCGTATTAATGGGATGGCCAAAATAAAAAATTCCTTTGATTCAGTTAACCCGACCAACCGTATCTTTTGTCCCCCAAAATGCCGATTCAATTGATTTTTATCGCTAATCCAGTCTCCCACAACTCTAAATACCTAATTTTCAAATATACCGCCAAAACACTGCCCTTAGCGCCACAACGGCTAGATTTCTGACTACCAAAGCACACTGAGCAAACCTCGGGACTGCAACACATCTATTGCCACAAGACCGGCGATACTGCACAGGGCGAGCGAGCATCATTCCGGTGTCAAAATGGCAGCCCTCTGACTGACGCTTTCAAAAATAAGATTTGTATTTTGAATTTAAACCTCAGTTTTATTTTTCCAGTGTGACAAATAGGTCTGGGAGGAATGAATTAGAGTGAAATGGTGTCCGCGGACAGGTTCTTTACATCACTTAAAAGAAGAAGAAAAAAAAAAACCCGACCTATCGACCCACCTCCAGAGGGAGTCTGTTACCTGAACCAAAGGTATTTTTTTACTTGGCCTAATGATGAATCTTGAAAAATAATGAGAATGATGGTAACGGTAATGGTAATGATGATGATATGATGGTGATGATGATGATAAAAAAATAATAATGATAATAATAATGCTGATGGTGGTGGTAATAATAATAAAAACAATTATTGTTATTACGATATGATGATAATGATAATTGATAACATCAGTATACTAGTAAGCATTGTGATAATATATTGAGTGTAATAGTAATATAATAGTAGTCAGTTATGAAAATGATGATTATTATAACTAATAATGATAATTATCGCAATATTTGTTTCTATTATAATTTTTATGATAATGATAATGGTTATATTAACAATTTTAAGAATTGAAATGATGATAATGAAATGATAACGATAATAGTAATATGGATAAAAAGATAATCGCCGCATGTACTACCGTATACTACCATTTTGAATAGTGTGTTTACTCCCCGGGTTGCACATCCCAGATTTGACACGACGGGTTTATACATGACTTAAAAACATTTCAGAACAATGTAATCCGCTTATGTAACACAAATGCTTCAGTAATCAACAGGTTAAGAAAAATAATCATTTCCCATGAATGATCTAAGATAACAGTGATAGCTGAGATAAAAATTACATAATATCTCAAAGATATGAGGTAATATTAGCGTAATTTCAAGACATTGTTTATTGATATGTATTACAGAATATATGATGCACATCTATTAACAGTGATTAAATAATAACGATTAGATACATATACTTTCATCACATTATGCCACAAATGATACTGATAAACGGTGCTATTAAAGAAATATGGTTGAAATTGGTTGGCATTCAAATACGTGACGACTGACATGTATGAATGAAAGTGTCTCATTCACAAATAAATAAATTCTGATTTTCCTTTTGCGCTGCAACATTTGTAGATATTTGATCGCAGAATATTTCAGTTTTGATTATGGCAATCAGTTCAACTAGTTCATTGATACAAAAGTAATATCCAAATTGGAATGAGTAAAGTAAGAATTTTCCCTTATCAGTTATTCTCTCTCACGGTTTAACATGGGCAGATATTAACTTTGATTAAATTACAACTATTACATGATTCAATTTATGAAATCAAAGTAAAATCATCGAAATATAACATAAACCAGAGAGACTTAACTCACACTCGAATGCTTGCTTGATAAACATTACTATAATGAAATTGTTGTGATGCTGTAAGGTAGTATATTTGCTTGTTTTATTTAATTTGAGGTAGATATAAGGTTGACTTGTATGTACAAGATGCTGAATTATATTGATATATTAGAAAATAACGAAATTAGTAATGTTGAGGTATTTAAATCGGTAATAGTGAGACACGACATAGTAAATGACATTGCCCGAACAGGAGAGGGTACGGTTTGAAGATACTATAAATAGCTTTTATTGCAAATTTTGGCCTGTTTTATCAGTAACACGTCATAACCTGTTAATTTACTAACGTAGGTAGGTTTTCTCATGAATTTGGGTAAATACCTTTCTAAAAATAAGACCTATGTAATCAGATTATGTAAGTACCCAATAACCTTTTGCTATGAAACAACCTGTATAGACTGACATCGTTCCTTTGCTATATCTGTTAACAATCTATTATTTTAGGATGAAAGGTGGTAATTGTTCAGAGAAGAACCATGTGAAATGAGGCCATATTTTCCATAATTGTCAATTGCAAAGGTCCCAAACATAACTTAAATATGAATTTATTTTGGTTCCTTCTTTGACAGTAATTTTCTAGGGAAGTCTGCTAACTACTATACTTGGTGAAAGTTTGTTGGCCTCTGCCGGAATATGGTTTCTGAGTCACTGCGTGTATTCTTTCTAATATAAAGTTGTGTCTATATTTGTCACTTGTGGATTTGGGTATTAAGCAATATGTGTGATTTTTGGATGGCTATTTAAGACAATATTGTTTGTTTTTATGTAGCTTGTGTGTTCCTAATCCGGATGATTAACCCCGAAAAAAAAAGCAAGTATAGCTAAACTAAATATTAAAATGACAAATGTTGAGAAGACACCCCAAGTGACTGGAAATATTGTAATTATGTTACCTGTATTGTATATTCAGATCTACCTGAAACTTTTGGTAGCTATACTGATTGACACAAATAAGGACGTGTCTTCTAAGCATTTACGACTACCTATAACAGAACATTGATAATACAATTGGATAACCATGACAAAAGAACAATAACAAATCTAACTTTATTCCCTGTATTAATCAAATTTGACAGGAATTATTGTGGGGCCAGTATTTTGTCTTTAGATTTCTCTTTGAATATTCCTTACCCTACATACCTATTTTAGCATGATGAATGAAAATTATTAGCTCTCCATTGGTATCAATGCTGTACCAATAGCTTACACTGAAGTTCTGTTAAGAATGATCAATATTGAAATTAAATATTACAGAATTGTTAGTGTCATCATTCTCATATTGGTAAAAATGAATAGTTTTCTTTTTTCCTTGTCTGATGATATTGATGATTAAGAAAAGGTTTTTGATTAGGATATTCTTACCAGCTTACCATAAGGTAGGATTGACAGGCTTTGATTACTTCATAAGATAATGAGATTACATAAAACTGGGTAAGATAAGAAAGCTTTGATTTGAAGATATTAAAAAAGAGTTAGATAGTATAAAGTAGTAAAGATAGTGTTGCAATGTCACTTCATTAAAAGACTTTGTTAAGATAAAGTATTGTTACTAATGAGGTATTTTGGGTTAGCATTATTGCGAGAAGATATATGTCACATATCTTTTGTTATACATAACTTGGCCTGAAATGTTTATAAACTAATTGTCAGTAATTTTTTCTTTCTTTCCTTAACATATAATTTTAACAGGTTACTTAAATATTTTTTTGACTGCAATTTTTGCATTGTTTCATAAAGATATATTTGGATATATGAGCATGTGCCATATTGTAATGCACTGCATTTTTTCACACCTTTTTTCAACTTGCTTTCAATGCAGTTATGAGCCAATATGTTTTTCATATTTTTGAAGTGAATAAAGATCGATGGATAGCTTCAGTGTATCGGAGAATAATAATTTGAAAGTCAGTGAGGGGGAAAGCAGGGGAAAGGATGAGAAAGAGAAAATAAAAAGGGAGGCAAGAATAGAAGACGTTGCTTTTGTGATTTTGTATATCCTTCTAAAATGTAATTTTTGTCTTGCATTGATTTATTGTGTCTTTGTGGAAGTATCTGTATCGGAGGAAAAGATATGATTTTCAATAATGGTTTCATGTAATAGATATCATTCTTAATTAAGATACCCAAATGGTGATGATTTTTTAAAGTGAATAGTCACTTATGAGCATGTGCAGCATGTATTTAAGGTATTAAAAAATAATAATAATTTTAATAGAAAATAACCCTTTTCCTAGATGAATGATATCCATTATATGCATTTTGTTTTGACACTAAATAATCCCAAATTACCACATAAAGTATATAGATATTTTTTTTTCTTACTGTAGGGTTAATAAGAGTACGTCCCAGCCAGCTATGTTATGTGTATGTCGTGGCCGCTCGATTTGATATGCGGGTGCTTGGCGTAGGAGTGGGTGTGGCAGTGCTGGTTGTGATTTGGGTGGCTGCTACGGTGGCTGTGTTAGCTTGTGCGCGCAGCAAGGTCGTGGTGGCAGTAGGAATAACACTGGTAGCAGCTGTCTTCTCTCTAATCCTACTAGTGCTTCCACAACACTCCGCACCTCATGTGCCTGAGCCGCAGGATTCGGTAGGAAATGTTTTTTTATTTTTACCTTTCCTTTTTTTCTTTTTTCTTTTTTTCTTTTTTTGAAAGATATTTGAAGGGATTGATATAGATTGATATATAGGCCTAATTTTTCAACTTGACTTTTTTGATAACTGAGATCGAGATTGCATGTAATTTATATGAAATTTGCATGCATGGAACTGCCTTTAAAGCAGGTATAACTTCTTGCATGTGGATAGCCACACCCATACCCACATCTCCACTCATAAATACAATCAGACCATAGCCACACCTGAAGTAAAATGTACACCCTTACCCACACCCACACCCACACCCACACCCACAACCACACCCTTAGCCATACTAATACCCATGCCCTTACCAATACCGATATTTATATCCATACCCTTATCTGAACCCATATCCATACCCATACTTGTACCTTTAACTATTGCTATACCCATACCCATACCCATACCCATACCCATACCCAAACCCAAACTCCCCCTCCCAAGAACATACTCATACTTAAACATATTTTTATGTTCCACATATTCATACCCAAGCCTATACTTACTTACTAAACCCAGTGATGATGGGGCCTGATTTATTTGAGATGTAATATTATAAAACAGTCTCAACTTTGTGACTAGGCCTAAGCTGTGTACTGCCATCCCAACTGCTGTGAGTCATGATGGGTTTACACATCATAGGCCGTTACGTCATTACGGCAATAGCCATGCCTATCACTGAGGGGTTAAATTTACATGTACTCACATCCACATCCACATCCACACACACACACACACACACACACACACACACACACACACACACACACACACACACACACACACACACACACACACACACACACACACACACACACACACACACACACACACACACCACATTAGGCCAGTTAGGCCAGTGCATTTATGATTTTTTATCCTGTGCACAATCCATATTTTTCTATGATGCATCCTTTACAAAATAACATATTATACCACTTTACCCTTGAATGCAAACTGATGCATGTAAATATATTTACACAAAAATTATACTGCATCTCCTTTTGACCTTTTCTTTTTTATTATTAAGGATAATGATAAAATTACCCACTGTCTTCCAGGTAACAGATTACCTCTTCATTTTCCGGGTGGTCATTGTGGTGATCTCAGGGCTGTCGGCATTGGTGGGTTTTGGAGCTGTTGTAGGTCACTGGACAGAACCCATTCTTGGCAAACCACTCAAGAAAGTCAGACTCTGATAACCATCAGACCAATAGTTCAAATAAATAGTACAAACGTATCTGTGTGTCCTTCGGACTCTTGTATATAAAAAGAAGAAGCCGACTGGGAGCAAACATGGCAGTGTTGCCAAAATTGTTCAAGTTCAAGCCAGTCATGCAGACATTGCTGCAGGGCCGGGCCAGCAACCGTAGCTTATTTAGGCTCGGTATTGCTACAAACAAGATCAGAGAGTTTCATACCAATGAGCAGCTCTGTGACATATATGAGATTACTGACGAACAAGACTTTAAGAAGAAGGTGATGAGGAACTCCATACCAGTTATTGTAAATTTCCATGCTGATTGGTGCGAGCCTTGCCACTCGCTCAAACCTCTACTGGAGAAGATTGCTAATGAAAATGAGGGGCGACTCCATCTGGCAGAGGTAATGCTATGATATTTGTTGTTAGTGGTGAAGGCTGGACTTTCCTCTGATTTTCTCTCTCACTCCCCCCCCTCTCTCTTCTCTCTCTCATCTCTCTCTCTCTCTCTCTCTCTCTCTCTCTCTCTCTCTCTCTCTCTCTCTCTCTCTCTCTCTCCTCTCTCTCTCTCTCTCTCTCTCTCTCTGTCTCTCTCTCTGTCCTCTTCTCTCTGTCTCTCTCTCTGTCCTGTCTCTCTGTCTCTCTCTCTGCTGTCTCTCTGTCCTCTCTCTCTGTCTCTCTCTCTGTCCCTCTCTCTGTCTCTCTCTCTGTCCCTCTGTCTCTCTCTCTGTCCCTCTGTCCCTCTGTTCTCTGTCCCTCTGTCCTCTGTCTCTCTGTCTCTCTGTCCTCTGTCTCTCTGTCTCTCTGGTCTCTCTGTCTCTCTCTCTCTCTGTCTCTTCTTGTCTGTCTCTTCCTCTCTCTCTCTGCTCCTCTCTCTCTCTCTCCGTC